TATATATATATATTAGTGGCTTTATATTCTTCCATCTTTTTTTTAATAGGATTTCCAAATTTTATATTTATTTTGTTGATCTTTTTGTAAATGTCATATATTTTTTTAAAGTTATATAAGGTACATCAAATAAAAAAATTAAATAATACAAAAATTTAAGAAAAAAAAGTTAAATACTTTTTTTATTTAAACTTAGTATCTATTTCATTAATTTTTTTTGAATTTTTATCTTTTAAACTTTAAATATAAGTTACACATAATCTTTTAAATAGTCTCTGGTTTAATTATTTTTATTTTTTTTATAACAAAATTATCTTCTAATGAAAAGAACTTGTAATTATTCTAGTGGTTTATTTTTTGTAGTTGACATATTAATTTTTTTATACATAATTTCATAAAGTTAAAAAAAATTATATTTAAAACTTAACATTTAAGATTTAGGATTTATAATTTTAAGACACAAGTTTTTGGGTTTAAAGTTTAGTGACTTAATTTTCTTAAAATAAAATTATCTTTTAGTGAAAAAGATTTATAATTATTGTAAGTTTTCTAGTGATTGTTTTGTAACTAATAATTAAAAACTAAAATTTTAGATAATTTGATAAATTAAAAAAATATTTTATTATAGAATTATTTTATAATAAAAATAATTTACAAATCTCGTAATTATTCTAATAACTATTTTTATAATTAATATATTTAAATTACTCATTTTATAGTTAACATATTTAACTATAAAAAATAAACACATACTTTATCAAAGTTAAAAAAATTAACTTTATTATACATTTTTTTTATTTGATCAATAATATTGTTATATAATTAAATAATTATTGGAGGAAGTTAAGATAGAGAAATATTTTTTTTATGAGAAAAAATATAGAATTTTACTATATTAAACTAATCAATCTATAAAACACTTAAATTTTATAGTTAACATATTTAACTATCAAAATAAACAATTTATCAAAACACACTTACTTATCTTTAGTTGTGTCTCGTATAAAAAATAAAAATACATGAAAAAACTGTGAGCATAACATAATCATGAAGATAAAAATAAAATGAATAGAAAGACCGAAAATTTAAAAAAAATCAAGAGAATAAATAAGAAGAAAAATAAAAAAAATGATGTGAAAAAAAAATGAAATATATGTACATTAAAGAATGATAATCACCTTAAGACTGTTGAAGACTTTAAACAAAGGATAAAAGGTTTAAGTTTTATATTACAAATTTAGTTATAAAATAAAATATTTTCTTTTTATTATAATTCCAATTAGGATTTTAAATAATTTTTTTTAATTATTTGTTTTTAAAACTAAAGAGCAATTATTACCGAAAATGATTTTAGTATCCACAATTTTTAAATATGACATAATATAGAAAAGTCTAATTATGTAAATTTGTTAGTGATTTTAGGAATTTTTCTTCATAAAATTTTTCTAACTTCTTATCTAATTTGATTTTTATTTATCACAATTATTTATTAATTAAATATTAATATTTTAAAATAAATTAATAATAATAAATTATTACGATACAAATTATTTATCATCAATCTAAAATATATTTTATATGTTTAAAATATTTATGTACATTAATTTTAAATATAATTTATACATTAAAAATAATATATAATTTATTATAAATTTTAATTATATATAATAAATATACTTGTATATTGCACAAACTAAAATAGTAATATATAATAGATACAAATATCTATTTTGCTCAAGAATTTTTTTTCTTTGAGATGAAAATTGTTAGAGATTTTTTTAAACTTTTTTTTTTATCTAGTTTTATTTTTATTCAACATAATTATTTATAAATTAAATTTTAATATTTTTAAAAATAAATCCTCATTAAATAAAAATAATATTATACTACAATATAAATTATTGATCATAAATATAAATTATAATTTATATATTTAAAAATATTTATTTATACAAATTTTAAATATAATTTATATATTTAAACATAATACTTATTTGTATATATAACTTAAATTATAATTATATAATAAATACTTAACATTTGTATTGTTAAAATAATAATATTTTAAAAAACTAAATATCTACGAATTAAAATCTTCTTTGTTTACTAAAAGACTATCACTACTAATATGGTCACTATTATTACTGCACTCAACACACCATAATACTAACATTATTGTGAAAACACTGAAGTCATTATTGTTGTTGTACCACTTTCAATGTTGTAGTACCACCACCATAGTTTCTAATAACAACAATGATAAAATAGTGACATGATAAAAATAATAGTGATAATAATTGTGATAGAATATAAAAAAAAATAAATGTAATATAAAAAATTACTTGTTAGTAGATTGTAATTAAAAAATAGATTAGTAGTTGACCAGACTCCTCCTTGAACAGCCGCTCAATACTGCTTGGTTGGCTGCTTGTCTTTTCCTTTCCTTTGTGACACACTCTGTCTACAGTAAACTCCGAACCAAACTACTCACATCAATTTTGCCATCTGCATTTCCCATTTGACAACTTGCAAATTAAGACTCCCATTTGCAAAGTTTCAATTCCCACACAACTAAGTAGTTTTCTTTTCCTATTCCTTACTCTCTCTCCTAGTATTTAAGAAGTGGCAACAACAACCAAACAAATAAATAAAATGAAACTACCATCATATCATATGGATTAAATATCATTATAAAATATTTTGTTTATTCCTAATCTCCCGTCTCTCCTTCTCCTATAAAATCACCAACACAAAAGCCTTCAAAAAATTTGCATAATCTGACTCCTAAATCATCTCTCCCTTCACGCACAAACACCATCATGGTAGAAACCAGAAGCGGCTCCTCTTCTTCTTCCAAGCGCTCTCTCTCTTCACCTTCTGCCCCCAACATGAAACGATCCAAGGTACAATTTTTCCTCTCTTTCCC